TGGACCCTTTCCAGGCCCACTTCAATTGCTGCCTGGACCAGACCAGTGCCCTAGTTCAGTGCACGTTTGGCTACCTCAAGGGACAGGCACACCCTGATGGCCCACCTCAAGTTCACCAAGGAACACTCCCCTGGGTCATCATCACAGCTTGTGTGCTGCCTAACATGTGTGAGGCCCAGAGGGAGCTCTTCAGTGAGACCTGGGTAGAGGAGGCGTGGTGCATGGAGGATGTCTGGCAGCAGGAGTACCACCTGTGGTGGCAGTGGCAGACTACTTGCCCTGTCCTGAGGCCCCAGGAAAGCTGCACACCTGCCAGCTGAGGCCAGGGCACCAGATGCATTGCTAACCACCTCCTCGAGCATTCTGCACCCTAGCTCATCTGCACTACCACTCACTGCCCCCCCCCCTTGCCTATCCCTAGTGTCACACACACTGCAGGCAGGTCTCACAAGAAGAAGTTTTTATTCCCCTCATATCAAATGCCCCCCCCCCCCACTTCCCTAAAAAAAAGAGCCCCTCTACCACCCACCAACAATAAAATACCTTCTTCCTCATGAAAACATTGTTCAATGTTCAGGGGCTTGGGCAGCCTGGGGTGGGAGGCTGTGTGGTGGGAGTGAGTAGGGGGCAGAACCCAGGGACAGGAAGCCATCACCCTGGCCTCTGGCCACTCCCCCATAGGTTCACATGCTGCAGTGGGTGCAGTAAGCCGGGAGCTCACCCAGCATGGGTGGCTTGCCCTCTGGCAGCCAGTGTCCAGGGCCAGCAGGGCCAGCATGTGTTCCTGGCCTCACTGCAGGGAGCTCCAGCTCTGTGCCTGCTTGGAGATAGGGTAAGTGGTGGGGCTGGGCCCAGGTCGGGGAGTTTGCTGGTGCTAGACCTGGGGCAGGGGCAGGCCAGGGGAACCTGGCTTCTGGAGGCAGTGCAGGACCTCCTCCCAGGCCCAGGCAGGGGCCTGCTGCTGGATGGCAGGTGGCTGCCAGGGGGCAGGTGGGGATAGGGTCTGGAGCCAGACAGCAGGTAGCATGGAACGTAACTGTCGGGGCCAGAATGGTGTCCAGCACCCAGTGATCATCATCCATAGCCTGCACTACCCAGGCCAGGATGGCATTCTGTTCCCACAGGGCCTCCACCTGCTTGTACTCCAGGGCAAGGAACTGTACCCAGAACTCCTGGTCCACCTGGTACTGTGCCTTCTTTCACCAGCACCATGTCTTCTCTGTCTGCCACCTGTACCAAGCATCCCCCAGATGGTCCTCTGATGCTGTTATCAGGTGGTCCAGGAGGAGAATCCTGCCTAGGGTCCTCCTCTGGTGGAGCAAGGATATCTGCTGAGTTCCGTCCCTGGGTGGTGGCAGCCCTGAAGCTGCATTCCAGCTGCCAAGGTGGCTTCTCCACTGCGTGCAGCTGTAGATCCTGTAGAGCCATGAGACAGAAGCTGTGAGAGTTTGCAACAGTTCAGAGATAAAATGCTTTATACCAGGGGCCGTGTAGTGCCCAACCTCAGATCAGGGGTCAGGTGTGCACAGGTGGCCAGGGACAAGAGTAAGTTGGCTTGGCAGGCCTGGGCCCAGGTGGCCACCATCCAAGACCCTGTCCCTGCTCAGTCCCCTGGGGCCAGCAAGCCACTGGGTGCTGGTGATGGGTAGTCTGCCTCCCTCGCCTCATTCCCAGGGTGGGACAGGACAGGCTTCGGACAGCACCTGCTGCCATGGCTCCAGACCCCCCTTTCTCTCCCCCCACTCCAGCAGGCCAACTGCTCTGCTGTGCTGCTTCCCAGCCCATAGCTGCCATGCTTTGGGGGTGTGGGGCTCTGGGAAGACTGGGATGAGGAGCTTCCCATGTCCCCACCGTCCCCACCAGGGTTTTCTCTAGGGAAACACCCCCCCCATGCCGCCACTGTACTTTGAATGTGCCCCTCTTATTCATGCCCTGGGTGGTGAATGAGGAGCTTTTTGTGTGGACTGAGGGGCACTGACCCACTATGCCCTGCTGCTGCTAATGGCAATAGTGCCCTGGGTGCACCTGTGCACTTGGTACAGGACCTTGAGCCACAATGATGTGGGAGGCAAGCCTGGGCTGCCCTGGAACCTCTACTACATCTTGGAGGGCTACCTGTGGGTGTGCTACATGTCCCTGTCCCCTGCAGCTAAGGAGTATATTGCCACCAGCACTGATGCATTCCTTGGCATGTGAGAGGCCTGTGCCCACCTAACTGTGTAGGATGGGCTGCTCAGTAAAGTTTGTCAGTGTCTCTCATCTCTCTGCATGCTGGGGGGGTGGGGAACCTGGGGCCAGGAGAGTGCAGACGGGCCAGGCAGAAAGGGAGGGCAGGGGCTGGGGGCTGGTGCAGGGAGGGGCCTCCCCCCAGAGCAGGGCTTACCATGTGGGTGGGGCTGGTGTGGCTGGTGGCTCCACGTGGTCACAGCTGTTGGCAATGGCATGTGGCTCTGGGCAGCAGGGCACAGTGGGAAGGTGCCCAGCTGGGCCCTCCCCCCTCCCCCTAGGAAGGAGCTGGCATTGGTGGTGGCTGGTGGTGTCATGGCCAGATGTGCTTCATGGCAGGAGCTGGGGCTGCGGTGCTGTCTCGGGCTCTCCAAGCTGCTGGTGGAGGGTGCAGCTGGGGAGCTCAGTGGAATGTGCTGCTGGACACCCAAAGGGCCTTCCCAGGCTGGGACAGGGGCTTGGGCAGGCCGCTCATGCTGCTATAGACAGGACAGCTGCAGCCTGGGTCCCAGGGCATGAGTATGTCTATTAGTTGCCTCATAAAGGGTATGGACTTATAGGAACTGCCCAACCAATGATTGTGGTTGTTGATGGAAACCCACTGCACCTGCAAGGCCTTGACCTTTATGTGGTACTGTCATGCTGACCAGTTATGCCCATGCTTCCACATCCAGGCAGACAGCCCCTCATAGACATGGGCATTGGAGTGCCCACCCTGCTCAAACTGACGCTGCACCTCCACCTTTTCCCACAGTACCATGAGATCATCAGTTTCCTCCATGGACCAGTTGGGGCCCCAGTTTGCAGGCGTGGGTGTGGGCACAGCCGTGGATGAAGAGGATGCCATTATGGGTTCTGTGCTACCTCTCTGGGCCCTCAATGTGCCTGTCCCTGTGTTGCCGGGCCTGGACAACTGCCTGCGGTGCCCAGCACAGGGGCCTGGCATAGGACTGGCACCTGCACAGCTGAGGCAGTGCCCTGCAGCACCTTGGGGCAGGCTGCTGGGGCAGGCTGCTAGGGGTAGGACGTGGGCAGGTGGAGCTGGCCCCAGCAGCCAGAAGCTGGCTGTAGCTGGGCCTGGGGGCTGGCAGGCCTGGCAGAAGCCTGCAGTAACCTGAAGCAGCCTGCAGCCCTGGCCAGTGGGGGCCTGGCAGCTCTGCGGCACTGAGGTACCAGGCAGTGGCACTGGAACGCAGATAGACTAGGACAGCTGGCCTGCAGCCTGCCCAGGGGGATACAGGTGCCTGGAGTAGCCTCAGGCTTCCTGCTGGTGTGCCCCAGGGCTCTGAATGCCTGCAAGCTTTTAAAGGCATAAAGGCATCTCAGCCCTGGGGCAGGAGAGCCCTGGGGCAGGAGAGGCTCCCAGCTCAAAGCCCTGGGGCTAGCTTGAGGCATGCCCCCTAGTGGCAGGGCTGACCCAGCAGCAAATTTGCTCTTGGGTCACACCTATTTGCGTGTAAATGTACTTGTGAGTAAGTGTTTTTATTGCATGGTAAGCATGCACATGTGTAGACTCATGTGCTTACTGTGTACTAAACTACACTTCTGCACAGTTAAGTGTCTTGTGTAGATGCACCCCTTAAGCCTCTTTTAACAAGTGAATTTAGATCATAGGCTTAATATTCCATTATGCCAGAGGTGTCCTGTGAGGTATATCCTGAGGGGTTCCCAGAGGGGCTGGGAATTTGGGGGTGGAGTGAGTGCAGGCAGGGTTTGCTGACAGATTCCTTACTACAGAGCCCCACCGGGGATACATGTTGGTGGGAGTCGGGGATGGGGTACAGGTGTGGGATGAGCAGCAGCAATGCAGGGACAAATGTCCAAGCTACCAGGTACTTCCCACGAGAAGCCCTGTGGTTTGGATGTGACCCATGGGCCCAGGTAAGTTTGACATCCCTGCAGTATGCAGTTTAATCTGTATTTATTTCTGAATCTGAGCTAGCTGCCTTATAAGACCATATCCTGCTTATTTTGGTGGATCTTACAGGTAATGGCAAACGTGTGCAGTGGCTGCATGGAAGTGATGATGAGGTCTGGGTCTGGGTCATGGGAGAAGCCACAGGTGACAAGCCATATGAACAGATTTCTGAAGAACTAATTGCAGAACGAGCCAGGCAGCAAGCCCAGAAGGAGGCAGAAGAATTATGGTAATGATTTGAGAATTTGAATTCAGGCTCGATTTTTTGCCATTCACAGCCATTTAGAAAGGTGGCAGGTAATACTGAGGAAGTATGGTAAGCATATTCTTGTATACATTTTTTACTTGAATGGGATTATTTAGATTTTAAAAAATCCAAAATGCTATATTCAGTTCTAATTCAAATTGATGCAACTTAATTCTTTTCTACAAAATATAGAAACAAATTATGTTTTTGCAGGAATTTTTGTTTTATTTGAAAAACTGGAAAACAAAGAAAAATTTCCACAATTTTTCATTTATTAAAAAATCCCTTTTTTAAATCGCTAATTTTCATCTGCTTCTCCGCATAGCTTTGGCTGGACTAGATTTGCTCTGATGAACTCCTAAAACCATTAACCTGTTTGCAGAATAAAACTAACCAACCTGCTTTTGAATAACAATTAAATCAGAGATGTCCATTATCAAAAGTTTGTAGCTACAACTGGAGGTTTTTGCACATACATTCTGTTACAGCATTAGCTTTTTTGCAAGTTAGTTTTAATTTTTAATCTAAGAATAGAAGAACTCATATTGCCATAACTATATTTCTAATAGAGACATCTGTGGAAGTAGTCAGTTGTTTCTGATGCTCAGTGACATTGAGAGAATAGGGTCATTGTAAAGCTTCCAAAAATGGGTATTGAAATGACAAGTTATTCGGTATTTATTCCTTCTCATATCGTTTGTTTTCTGTCCAAACTGTCTGCTGCCTATTTCTAGTTTGCATATTTAATGTGGTATTCAAATTTGTGTTCTTTTTGCCTCTTACATTGACAGTGGCAATGCACATTCTACCACTGGAATTTAGCAGTGGATTGTTTTTTTAATTTTTAGGCAAAATAAAGATTCCACATTACTTTCCCATATTGCTATGCTGAATTTAAATTGCTAATAGGGGAACTTGTGTTTTTTTTTATCAGGAAAAGAAACAGGTTATGGTGTGACTCAAAGACATTCAAGAAGCAGATATCACTAAGAAAATTCTATTTTTATTTACATTTGCTCTGCCTGCTAGGTATTTGCTTGGAACTTGAACTATAGTGCTTCATTTTAGATGCATTTGAATTATTTTCCTGTATGTTTTCATGCAATCTTGTATATTACTTATTGTTAGTAATCATTGCTTACCTACTGAATAAAGGGTAATTCTCACTTCAATTATTTTCAATTTTTTTCAATTATTTTTATTTTCAAATTATTTTCTGTAGGAGGCAAAAAGAGGCTGAAATTACAAAGAAATTCCGGGATGCTATGGCTAAGGAAAAAGCCAGAATAGTGGCTGAAAAATGGAAAATAGAAATAGAAGACCGAAAAGCAGCCAAACTGATAGAGGAAAAAATTCAAGAAGAATTAAAGGTTTGCACATAATCATCTTTAGTCTCTATAGTCATTTTTACTTTTCCATATTGATTCACAGAGCCTGTCACCTTCATGCAGTTTATTTCTAAGGACTGAAAAACTGTTGTAGGGTTCCCTCCTGAAATATACAACTAGCATCACTGCGTTTCCTCGGTACAGCTGGATGAATAATGTACAAAATAATACGTCCTGTTCAAAAATATCATGATAGTCATTAAATAGGTTTTTCAATTAACAAGTGAATAATTGTTTAGCTATCTGTGTAATAAATACAAATAGCAAGAATATACCAGGAAACAATGTTTGGAAAATGTCAATACATTTTAGATTAGCTGTTCATGTGTATATTTCATTTCAAAATGCTTTCCCCTTTTTCTCCAATTAAGTAGAAGTTGATCCTGTTCCTATTAATTATATGAATGAGGGAGTCAATTGATTTAATAGCTCATTGTTCTTCACTCCACAGGTGTTAACAATTATCTCTTTTTTTAATGGTCTTGATGTTCTACTAATCAAGCTAACCTTTCTTAAGGCAATTTTACTGTCCACTAGCTCAGTGGTTTTCAGCGTTTTTTGTACCAGGACTGATTTGTAAACATTGATGGCCAATCCTGACCCAGTGGCTCTCACTCCTGACCTGCTGCCCTTCTGCCTCTAGGCCCTAGCACCCCAGTGTGTGAAGCAGGGGGTGGGTGTGTGTGGTGGGGCCCAAGTAGTCCCAAACTGCCCCTTGAAGGCTGGAATTCTGTTAGCCTGCAAGGGAAAAGATACAGTTTTTCTCCTTTAAAGAAGAATCAGTTTTTAAATTGTTTGTGACCCTTTCATGTATTCTTCTGGGTTGCAACCCATAGGTTGAGAAATGCTACCTAGCTGCTCCTGATTTCTGTCCTCCTAATTCACAGCATTGGAGACTTGTTAGCTCTTTTCAAAATCATAGATCCACTTACAGAGACTAGTTTTCAGGATCAGCTAAGGTCTGAGCTTCAGTTGAGCCAGGAAGTGAGAATAAGCCAGCTGAAAATTAGGCTCTGATCCTGCTCTATAACTGTGGACCATTTTTTCCCCTTCACTCTGCCCTTCAAAAACAAGTTTCATATCATATTCTGGGGTGTGTTATAGGTGAGAATTTATGGTAATATTCTGCCAGTGATTTCCCAGGAGTTATAATCCACATAGGAAATGCTCACATATTACCTAGATTCTTCTTCCAGTTAGTAGGTCAGATCACTAATTTTAACTGATGCCAAGAACTAACCACTCATGTTTCTGTATATCAGGTTGAGGAAGCTGCTGATGTGTGGAGTTGTGGCAGGAGGAAATCCTGTGCCTATTATATGTGTCATTAATTTTTGTGCGGTTGTCTTAAATGTATTCTTCCCTTTGTTAGAAATGAGAGGAGCAACTTTTGGATTTGTTAAAAGTAATGACACTGTCTGCCAAGCGGATTACATGTATAGTAAGCAGAATAACTATTTGTGCTTGTCCTCCTCAGATCCCCAGAAAGCAAAGCCCTCTTGAACAAAGACTCTTACACTTCTCCTCACTTTATAAGTTGCCACCCATACCATGTTAGCGGCTACTAGAGTCAGATTGCTCTTATCTGAAGGATAATAGAACAACGCTCTTCAGTCATAGTACATTCTTACATTTCAAAGAAAAACACACCTTGCAAAACTGTGGCAAATCACTGCATTGCTCACGTAACATAGTGCCACTTGCATTTAGGGGAAGGCAATCGCTTATGCTTTTTCTGCAGCTTTAAATTACTGATAGCAAACTCTGCTCTGAGCTCAGTGGGTGTGTCTACATGTGCCCCTGACTGCACAGGTCATTTTTGACCCTACTGCACAGCAGCAACAAACTACTGCAAAACTACATGGTTAGTGCCTGCCAATGCTATGGTGTCATAGCATCTCATGTAGACGCACCCACTGAGTACAAAGTGAGTTGTGGATTGAATGACGATTACTCACACAATTCATCTGTGTGCTAGGAGACATTCCATAAGCCATCACAAATTGTTATGAGGTTGGAAGCATTGCAAAATTTCCCTGTGCTGTAAGGAAGACCAGAACCTGGTCCATTTTGAATACCAAACTTCAGTACTTTTTGCTCTGATCCTACTCAGGGAAAGTGGCTTATTGTTTTTTTCACTTTCCCATAGCTCAAACATTGGAAAAGGTTGCGATGAAAATGAAATAAAGAAAAACTACCTTAAACCAGAGGCCTCATTGAAATGAAAATTTAAGTCTCAAAGTTTAGCTTGTGAAACCAAAAGGTTATAAATGAAAGCTCTTTTGCAATACCAGTGTCATAATAATAGCTTAATTACCTTGAAGCTTCAGCCCTACAATCAGATCTGTATTTGTGGATGTTCATATTTCAGAGGGACTCATAGGATATTGCCTTCTTGGATGCAGTTGGGGGATTGGTACCTTGCATAAAAAACTCCTGTGTAAATGTTCTTAAATCATTTCATCTTTCTTTTTAAGGGCAATTCATACGCATAGTTTTCTAGGATTGATTAAAAACAATAGAAAAATGTAAAAGTCAAATATCAAACCAGATGGCCAGCTTGGTCAGTTGTTCAGTTTTGTGTCCACTGGAATATCTACTTCCACTCCATGTATTCTTTTGATGTCTTCCTTTGCATGGTGCAGTTGCCTATTTCAGTAGCTATGTCAGATATCTTTAAAAGAAATATGACTGGAAAGTATATAAAAGTGCTTCTAGCATTTTCTTTAAAAAAATATTTATTTCCCTCTAAGAATTTAATCAAAGCAGGATAACAGTGGAAAAAAAGGCAAATTGGTTAAAAATCGATTCATGTTTGACTGCAATCACTGAAATCCTAAAGAAATGGGTCTTTCATGAATGATTCAGGGGATGGAATGAGATGCAGCTCAGTTAGCGAGCCCACGTTAACAAGTTTAAAATATTTAACACATCATTAATCATCCTTCTGTGATGATGACTGGACCACATTTAAAACAGTCTCCAAAGCGGGGAATAAAAAGCATGAACTCCATTAAAATTTCATCATCTTGAAGCATTTTGATTTGGGAAATTGAAGCTCTGTGTCCATTCTGCTGATGTGTTTAATTTCTAACCATATTGTATCACAACTCGCCCTTTTTAAATAGCTTTTATTCCTCTTGACATATCATGGGACTTTAAAGTTGTCTGGACTAGATAAATTATATCTTCACATATCAAAGTGAGTGATGATCCCTGTTTCCTTTTGCCAATACTAATCTTACCTTCCTTGGTGTTTCTTAAGCAGAGAGGCATTTAATTTATGATGCCATAGTCTAAGTGTTGATTGCTCTATTTTTGTAATTTAAGGGCAGCTATCCTTTTATGCCCTTTCTGCAATTGACAAATAAGAAAGCCAATTACTGACATTAATCTTCTGCTAATTCTCAAAGACTATGAGATCCTGGGCATCATTTCTACTGTTATCTGTCATTGCTGCTGCTGCCAAACAACTTTGCACAATATGCAGAATAAGCAAAAATGAAAGGTTTGAGTCTTAGCTAGGTGACCATAGAATTCTTTATAGACTTAGAAGAAATAGTGGTGTGATTATTGAGTGACTGCTTCGTCTGCTCCCCATTCAGCAAAGAACTATTAATGGTAATGAACTATCTACTTAACAACTTGAGATGCTTGCCCAGATTAATGATACAAACACAGCTCATAACAAAGCTAGATTCTTTCTTAGGAAATATTTGCAAAATGAAATGCATTTTCAGCAAAAACTTGATAAAGTTCATTATAGCTCCATCACAATATTTAGTAATATCTAAGAATTCTGAATATAAAGAAAAAAAACTTAGTATTTTTCTTCCTGCTCCCATCACTTAAAAAAAATAAATAACTTTTTTTTCTTCATACAGTTGCCTGTTTATCTGTGATAAAAGAGAGTTGTTTGGTTCCTGCTGAGAAGCAGATCTCACAGTTTCCTCATCCTATATTTTGAAAATTTATGATATTTTAATTTTAAAATAAAATATTTTCCCCACCACACCAACTGTGGTTGTACTGCCAGAATCAGCCTCTTTATATAGGATATTTACCAAAAAGTACCATTTAATTCTGACAGTTTCTACCACCAAGTAGATTAACAATATATGTTTAAGCCACTACTGAAAATAATGCCATGTTTCATAGGCCCAAAAGATCCTTGTTTTGCAGGGCTCACATTTTAGGCAAAGCACAGTAAATTTGATCTTCAGCTTGTATGAGTTCCACACAACTCCATTTCCTTTAATAGAACTATGCCAATTTACATTAGCTGAGGATCTGGTTCAGCAACTGTAAACAGTTCACAGGAATACTACATAACTGCTTAGAATATGAACTGAAAGTGTTGTCTCCTAGTGAAATTTGAGGAGTGATAAGATATTATTGCCTGAATTAGAATTTCTCCAAAAGAACAAAGGTAATATCTGAAAAGGGTACAGGTCTTTTGTGATCAAAAAATGGTTATGATCTCAGATTTTTTGTGGCCAGAGATAGTCATAATCTTTGTTTTCCATATTCTCCAAAGCAGAGCTTCTGTGCACCAAGGCACTAAGCCAGGTCAGTGGTTTTGTACTGATTCTGCATCTTTGTCTATGGTAGATAATTATACCAGGTGTAATTAATACAGTACAACGATAATGGGCATCTTCTAGAGTGTCTGAATAAGAAGAACTCCTTCACTTGCATTTGTCCTTGAACTTATGAACAGGGTAGTGAACTGATACCTTACACTGCTCCCTGGAAGTAAAGAGGGGGCAACTTTTGGATGGGAGGCCAACTTTTAACTTAATGGCTAAGAACAGAGGTTCAAAATGCCCAAGGTGGAACCGATTCAGTCTTTGCAGGATTTTCGAAACTGCATAGATTGGACCCATAATGAACTGAACTGAACCGAACCCAGAATGAACTGATCTGAACTGATGTTCAGTGTTCCAGTGACTAAAGCAGGCAGAACCCTGCAGTGGCCCAAG